CGTGGCGGCGGTCACGGGCCGGGAAACGCGGAGCTTCACGGTGTCGGTGTCGGTCTCGGTGTTACTGCGTGGTTTTCAGTTGATAATGTTTTTTGCAGTTATTCCATACAGCGGTGTGGGTGTTCTTGTTTCTTCCCCCGCTCTACGCTGTGTTTTGTCGGCTGGTGTAGTCGCATCGGGTTGGTGAAGCCCAAATTTAAGTTTTGAGTTGTGGAACCTTGAGCTCGGTACCGCTAGACCCCGAAAGGTCTGCAATGTCCTTTCCTCCTCGCGTCTCTCCGGGGAGCAGTGAGGGGAGGGATCCTGACTGTAAACCGGGGACAGGAAAGAAGGACTCAGTACTACCCCCAAGTCGAGCTGCTTGATATTATTAGCAAAGAATGTATGTATCTCAGTATGGGTTAACCTCAAGAATCATTTTTTCTTTAATACTGTTTAAATACTTGCATAAGATTTAACATACACATTAAAACACATAGAATACAGAAAATACAGCGATACAGCTTGGTGTCCTCAACATAAGGACGTGGAACTGTTGGAGCAAGTCCAGAGGAGGCCACAAAGTTGCTAAGAGGACTGGAGCATCTCCCCTATGAAGACAGGCTCAGGCAGTTGGGGCTGCTCAGCCTGGAGAAGAGAAGGTTGTGTGGAGACCTCAGAGCAACTGTTCAATATCTGAAGGGCCTACAAGGGAGCCAGACAGGGACTCTTTGTTAGGAACTGCAGTGATAGGACGAGGAGTAATGGTTTCAAACTGAAGGAGGGGAAGTTTAGGTTAGATATTAGAAAAAAGTCTTTTCCTTTGAGGGTGGTGAGACACTGGCACAGGTTGCCCAAGGACGTGGTGGCTGCCCTGACCCTGGTGGTGTTCAATCCAGGCTGGATGAGCCTTGAGCAATCTCATCTAGTGAGGAGGTGTCCCTGCCCATGGCAGAGGATTGGGACTAGATGATCTGTAAGGTCCATTCCAACCCCTAAATTCTATCATTCAGATAGTGTAAAGGGAGAAGATGTGTTAGGAGAGTGAACAGGCTCACATTGTTCAAGATATCTCGATAGCCTTATGAAAATGAGGTGTAAACACAACAGGTTGTCAACCAAAAAAGGTGAGATTTAGGTTGTGAAGATGCTGGACAGGATGGTAAAGGCCTTCGTTATTGGAAGTGTTTTCAGTGAAGCTGCTTTGGAGAGCCCAAGACTACTTTGTGTTTAGCACTGTTGTCATTTTCTCTAAAGCCCACACCCGTCTGTGTAGGGATGCAGAAAGACTTGAGAAATAGCTGGCAAAGCATGAAAGTGGCAGAGGGGTGGCATGTTTTCAGTAACTGGGGGGGGACGTGTTACCTAAGCTCTTGTTTGATATAAGATCTCAATGGAATTTGAAAGTTAGAGTCTTATATTCTCACTAGGTCAGTACCAACTCCCCAAATGTGTTGTCACCAGTCACTCTGAAACTTACAGGTTATGTGATTTAGAGGCCAAATACAAGTACACGATTATGAAGTGTTTCTGTCATGTTTTCAAGGGCTTCAGGTCCTCTAAACCCACAGGTATATATAGAATCATAGAATATCCTGAGCTGGAAGAGACCCACAAGGATCATCGAAGTTCAGCTCCTCTATCCTTAGACTCCTAGGATATCTCAAGTTAGAAGGGACCCATAAGGATCACCAAGCCTGTGTACTGATAGTACGTAGTGCAGGTCAGTTATTAAGTCGCTGAACATGGAGCATTTGCCTGCTATGGTATGCAAATCACCTGAGTGCTTCGTTTTAGGGCAGGATTAGCTGCCTGAAAGCAGGATAGTTGTGGCAGAGGAACTGAGTACACCAGTAAGCAACTAAAATGGTGGGGGACAAGTGATGGCTTTAGGGCTTTCATGTTTTATTTGCATTATTACTTTTTGGATGAGTCTGTCAGTAAGATATGTGACAAATGGGGGATCAGGGATTTCTGGTGTTTGTTGCAGACAAGAATATGAACAAATAAATCAGCAGTAGGAATGGCAAAGAATTACCCTTGAAATCAAATGAAAGCATTGTCTTTGATAGCTTTCTGTTCTGGAGCAGGTGTCCCTTTACATTTATGCAAACTTACTCTAGAAGACTAATTTTCCATTGGGGTAGAGTTTTCCTACTCCTTTACTGTGGATCTTCTGATGCAAAATCCCTAACTTGTGGTAACTTACATGAATTCTGTCACGTAAACATGCCTGTCCTTTAGAGCTTTGTTCTCCAATGTAATTGTAACAATTAGCTGTATTAGGAAATGTAGTGTTTGCTGCTGTGTATGCACAGTGCAGAAATACTCACTGATGACTACTGGACAGCGTACACAAATCTATTTGTATTTCACAGGTCTCTGAAAAAGCTTTCTAAGAAGTCGCAAGTGCAGATGGCAGTGAGACCTGTTTGACTTCGGGATTGTTCAGTGCTTTGCCGCTTGGAGTCCTGTCACAAAAGCGCAGTGTTTGCTTGTTATCAGAACAGTGATAAGGCTTCCATGAGCTGTTTTTGCAATGCAGGAATGTGAGGCAGACACACACACACATAGCAGAATGTAATATCTGGGGTTCAGTGATGCCAAATAGTGGATTGGCTTTCATAACTTCTTTGAATTGAAGCTTGTTTGTTTCTGACAAAGCAACAATAATGCAAGGATGACTTTGAACATTGTTCAAAGCTCTGACATTTCCCTATCAGTAAAGTACTTGGAGGCTACTAGGCATAGATATTTATAAATGCTTTAGATTCAGTTTAGATTTTATGCTGTTAAACCTAAGATTCTTACAGCTTCTAATGTTTCAGATCCAATGGCTGTCCCTCCGTCATACAGTGACTTGGGAAAGTCTGCCAGGGATGTATTCAACAAGGGATATGGTAAGTTAGATGATTCCAGTTTGAGAACTTTTTTTTTCTTTTTGTCATCTTGAAAATGCCAATAAGAACATTAGCACCCCAGAGATCCTCTGATACCTTATAGTAAGAATTCAGCAGAGGCATCTAGCCCTGTCTGAATTTGAACTTTGGACATGTATCATGAAATGCTTCAATGGCAAAGAGTTAGAGGGAAAACTTGCAAGCTTGACATCAAGATACACTTCTGAACAGTCTGTGAAAAATGCTGTACTTTTTTTTACCTTCCAATTTTTATATTTAGAGGCATTGAATCAGTGATTGCCAGAGGAAATCATATGTGGCAATAAATAGGTTCCTGAGGTAGAGTGATCTCTATGTTAATCAGAATAGCCTCTTGCTGTAGTGAAAATATTTTCACAGGACTTGCATTTGTCTCTTTTCTGTGAGCAGTACTCTAAAAGTGTTGCTGTCTTTTTAATATGGTTTTGCATGTAATAAAGATTGCATTTGTATCCTGAATCCATATGCTACATAAAACTCAAAACCACTGTGGTCTGCTCTCTTCCACCCTGGTGTTCAGGCTTTGCTAAAATTCAACTCAAGTTCCCTGCTTTAGTGTCAATTATTTCAGCCTTTTCTACTGTGTGCAAGGCACAGGTATTTGCCTAGATTCAGAGCAGATTAGAAAGGAAAGGAAGAAAGCAAGAGTGTCTCTCTATATGGCATTGATTGAAGTAAGTCGAAACATACCTTTTTCAGACAAGAGGGGGAAAAAAATTCCTGCCCTGCAATCAGAAATATAAAAGTAAATCAAGTAAATTGGAAGAAATGCTCACTGTATTGATGGGTCTCAGGCTACAGGTAGCTACAGAAAGAGGAGATACTTGATGGTTGGTGTCTGTTATAACTATAAATTATGAGGCCTCTCGCTTTGGATTGTCAAAATTCCTTCAGTTATTCCTTGGTATGATCCACAACTGTTTAAACATGAAAATAGGCTGTGTCAGGTCAGTGTGATACTTTGGGTATGTTGGAAACAAGCCTTGCTTGTATACTGCAGTGAAACAGGCATTGTGTACTGTTCTATTTTCAGGATTTGGAATGGTCAAGTTAGAGCTGAAGACCAAGTCTTCCAGTGGGGTGGTAAGTACTGGTAGCTTTTGACATCGTAGCAATGGAAGGACAAATTCCTGCACTGGTGGGTGGTAATAATGCACTAGCAGGTGTTGCTTCTCTCTTCTGTTTCTCATTTTAACACTTGTCACTAGGATATTTCTAGAATAGCATGGAGCTGACATAGTGGTACTTCTCTTCCTGTGGCATGCAAGGATTTTCACACGTTTTGTTGCGGCTTTCCTCCCCATTCCCATTGACACATCCCGAGCATAAGAGTTTCTTCACCTTACACAGCTCTAGTTTCTACTTATCAATGCAACTGAGTTTCCCTGCTGTTGGTTTTCATAGGATTTTGAGTCCAGACTGACTTTAATGCAGAAGGCCAAGGGGCAAATAAGTGCTGCAGTTTAACTTCCTTTTCACTCATCTCCACTGTGCTTATGATGCAAGACTTAATTAAAACTAAACAGTCCTTCAGCAGCAGAATTTGAGAGCTTAATTAAGCTTTAACACTCCAAGTAATTAGAAAATTCTACGATCCCCAGTTCAACGATGCAGAAGTGGAGCCCAGGAGGGCTGGTAAAACCAGGAATGGCTTTGATAACTTTGATCTTTAAACACAGCCTAGATATTATTACTGGATAATTTTTTCTCACACTGACCCTCAGTTCTGTGTGTGCTACCACTTGATGCTGTTCTGGTTGGTAGGATGTGCTGCTTTCCAGCCTACTTCATAACCATATTTGCCTTGGCTCCCTCCTTCTCCTACATTATAATCATGCAAATGATGTAAGTCCCTTTGTATTATTCTGTCTCAGTTGAGCTTTTGATGGATTACTTGCACTGTGCACCAGGAATGCATAGGCCTGTGGAACTGTGTGCTCTCTGTACTATGACTGCCTTTGCTTACTGACATTTCTTGACATGCAGTTTTCCTGGTCAGAAGCTTTGATTCTCAGATAATATGCCAGTAGTTAATTATGCTGTCTTCTGAATGTGATGGAACATGAATACTTGTATTACGTTCTAAAATGGCTTTTTCTTTTCCATGCAATTTTCATTGGATGTTTATCCAGCTGGTAAGAACAGTGACTGTTATGGCATGTGGGGTCTTTATTGCCTTGTCTGGCAAGGTCTTCTGTGGTGCATACTGTTATTTGTAAACAGTTTCATTGTTGTCAGTCATGTTATTTTCCACATGGTGCAGTTTAACTCTGTCCAATAACTCTTAAATCTGCTATATGATCCATATATGTAGAACCATTTGCAATCTTTGTCCAACACTAGACAAAAAGAACACTGTAAAAACATCAGGAGGGAAAACAAGATAGATGTGGTATTGATGAGTTGTCTGCTGCTACAGGTTTTGTGCTCATATTTCTAATGAGCATTCCGCTGCAACAAAATCAGGTATGGAGATGAGGTTAGAAATAAAGCATGAGACCAAATTCATACATGGGTACTCGTAGTACCTCTTGTTGTGACGATACACAAATGTTTGGCTGCTTTTCCTGCAGACTCAGTAAACAACAATGATAATATCTATTGGCTATTTTTTCATAGATTGCAAGTGGTTTTGCCTAGTCAGTGCATGGCACTCCTGAAGATGCCAGCCATCATAAACTAGAAGGTCAATGAGAAGCTAAACTTGACTGCTGATGCAGACTGGAGTGTGACATGGAGCCAGAATGAGTTTGATTTTTCAGCTACAAAAAAGCAAGAATTGCTTCTACACAAGAGGTTTGGTGAGACACTGTGGTTTACACAGTTAAAGATTGATGGCAGCAGATGCTGACTGTGCCTTCTGCTTCCAGAAGCACATTGAGTTCTGGCACCTGACAAAATGTTTTGGCTTTTGATCCTATGACAGGGCAGGTTTGGGTTTGGCTTTCAGGCAAGTGTTTACAACCTTTCCTTTGCTTGATCTGAGGAACAAACCAAGCCTTTTTAATCAGTTACCTGCCCTGAAATCAGAAGAAAGTTACTTCCAAATTCTGATGCAGGGTTGAGATGTCTTTACACTGAATTTGTGGAAGTGACAGAATACTGCATAGCAATTATGTCTTAAAGGATCGTCTAACGCATCCTGACTTCTGTCACATGTTTTTGTTAGCTGGCTAAATCTTCTAAAATGGCCGTGCTGTTGTAGTAGTGCATTAGCTTAAGTGTGTCCCTCTGCTCCCCCCCCTGCCCCTGACTGTGTGTAAGGAATGTTACCTGTCTCACTGGCACTTCAAAACCAGTTAGAGACAGTCTTTGTGTCTTTGTACACTTTGCAAGGTCCAGAATTGTGAAAGTAATAGCATCCAGGAATACTGTGCTGGAAGAAGGACCTGGAAAGTCAGGGTTCCAAAGCTTGGATGTGTTGACAGTGGACACTGCCGTATCTTAAGCACTGTATCGTTCAATATTTAAACTTCAAGAGAGACATAACTTGCAAATGTAATGACAGATTATTGATCTTTCTTCAAGGAAGATATTTGAGAGGTGAGGATAGCAAATGAGAGCAGTTCTCAGATGATTCTTTAAGACCTAGCTCGTACACCTTGAGCTTACTGCTGTGGCAGTATGCCTGCTCACTGCTTTACACTCAGTTGTGCACAAAGCACACAGGAGGAGAGATACTTATGAGGGTTCAAGTCTCCAAAGTAATAGGAGGTCCTGATGTGTGGGGGACTGGCCACATAGCATGTTACAAAATACATATTATACAAAGTTCAGTGCTGTCAGTTCAGTTGGTTCAGTCAGTGAAGGACCAGACTGACTGAGAGATATCAAATGCCAGAGTCAGGTTATTTTCTGATGACTGTGAAGGAGAACAGGTCTGCAATTTTAAGGTGCCTTACAAAGGGTGACTTAGTTTCTGAAGTCTAGTTACTGGCTGTGGTAATGACAGAGAAGTTAGGTTGAACGAGAAGGTAGTAAAAGTCATCACTGTGGTCTATGAAGAATCTAAGTGACAGCAGTATAAAGGGTAGGGAGACCACAGTTAGGTGCTGTAGTCTGTGTGAAAAGTATCAATTCTCCAGAAGATGTTTTCACTGCTGAAACATGGGGAAAAAGTAATTGCAATGAAGAAACACACAAGATACTTGGAGAATTGAGAGAGAAATACATTTTTTTCTCTTTGTTACTCATCTAGCAGTGTAAGTTGTATATAGGATTGCTTTTCCTAAGGGAGAGTGGATTTCTAAGACTGCAACAGGTGCTATTTTATCCACAATTGGGACAGTACTAGTAAGATGATAAAGGGAGTTAGAGGAGATTGTGAGGAAATAGCCAGGGAAACAAGGCAGCTTTGTATCCCAAGCAAGTATCTTTTTGTATCTGGTACAGATCTTCATGAAGATACAGAGCAGGTTGTGGAATGCTGGAGTAACAACTGCCACTTTGGCAAAAACAAAGTGGCAGGAAAAGGATTTTTTTGGTGGATAAATTAGGGGGAAAAGTGTAGCAAAGTTAAGAAGGGAGAGGGGAGCAAGTAATCACACCACAATGCAGATGAAAATTAAATTAAGGTGTCAGGTCTCTGTGTAATAAGGCTTTTTCCAGCCTAAGCAAGTTCCAGGACTTTATCAGCACACCTCAATAAAAATACCCAGAACAGAGTTACCCAAAGGAATAGCATTTTGTGATGCAAAAATAATTATTTCAGGTGGGGATATAGAAGAGGAGGAGGAGGATTTTGAGGGCTCAGTCAAAAGGCCTGAGGGTAGCAGTTGTGAGTGCTGGCACCTGACAAGGGGGAAAACTGAATGTAATTAAATTATGAAGAGTACTGAAACTCCTGTTATGCTCTTGCTAGGAATTTGCTGCAGCTGGTTCTTCCAACACGGACACAGGCAAGGCTTCAGGCAGTCTAGAGACCAAATATAAGGTCAAAGACTATGGACTTACTTTCACCCAGAAGTGGAACACAGACAACACACTGGGAACAGAAGTTTCGGTGGAGGATCAGGTAAGAGGAAGTAGATGCTTTTAAAATGTTTCTGCAGCTAGTATGAGAAAGTGTTGAGTTGAGCAGAAAACATTGGAGAGTGAAAGTTGCACAGAACTATCTGGAGTACTAAAAGAAGTTATGTATATTTACAGAACACACAGGCTGGGAGTGATAGCATTCCCGTAGCCGATGTTTATCCCTCATCATACAGCATCTTCAGATTCAGTTTTTAAACATGTGGGAGACATTATGGTTGTGTTTCGGTTTTCTCTTTAGACAGGAAGTAGAGCTATAAAAGTGGAAATAAAACAAATCATGTTTCAGAAGCATTCTGAGCAGCTGCTTTTGTTTTTCTTTGCAGTTGGCTGAAGGATTGAAGGTGGCTCTTGACACTACATTTGTACCAAACACAGGGTTAGTATGTTCTGTTGCCTTTATCTAAGGAAAGCTCGAATTTCCCATAACTTTTAGCAGTGCTTATTCTTGTCATTGTATAAATGTTCAACATTTATTGAAGAATATTTTACAGTCATGAGAATATTCTGCAGGCAGTGGGCAATACCAGACTCACAAGGACAAGGTCTGCTAAAAAGGATTCTTCAGCTTTTCTGCCAATGGCAAATTTGTTGTTTTGCAGTAGGTGCTGGATCTCTGCAGCTCTCCCCTTAAACAACTAGGTCTTCGTGGTGTTGACAGTCCTAATGCTGGCAATTCAATGATGGGGCCACAGAATTTGTGGATAGGGGCAGAGCAACTGCTGTCATCTACCTGGACTTATGCAAGGCATTTGACACTGTCCCCCATGACGTCCTTGTCTCTAAATTGGAGGGACATGGATTTAATGGGTGGAGCACTTGGTGGGTAAAGAACTGGCTAGATGGTCTCACACAGAGTTGTGGTCAGCAACTGAGTGCCCATGTGGAGGCCAGTGAGGAGTGGTGACCCTCAGGGGTCGGTGCTGAGGTCGACACTGCTGTTCAACATCTTTGTCAGTGACATGGGATTGAGTACACTCTCAGCAAGTTCTCTGACCACACCAAACCATGTGGGGCAGTCACAGCTGAAGGGAAG